CAACCAACCACCATTTGGTTTACATTAGTTCTATAATCTAATCTTTGGTAACTATAAGTAAATAAAAAATGTTTTGTATTATTTCGTTTAACTTAAATCTGTTTTAACATTGCTGTATGTCTTATGTTTATTTTGTTTTTATTTGTGATCTATGATCTTTGGTAACTAATAAGTAAGTAAATAAATACTAAATACAAATTCTTTGCAGGCAATAATAGTAATTACTAATTAGTTCTTGAAAATAGGTACAAAAGTAAATGTTTTAAAAGTCTGGCCTGAAAATGAAAAATCTACAAACTTTAGATCCCATAAGGCAGTTCTAAATATTTTCTGATTTCAATAATATTTCATAGTTTTGATTTATAGGTCAAAAGAAACATAAATATCAAGGTGCCTCTGTAATTGGATGACTTTAACTTTTTGTCTACAGAAGCTGAACTGTCCTAAAACCAGTACACACTCGCTGTCTTTGTCACCCTCTTTCCCATGTACATTTTATGCACTTTGAGAAATTCCTCTCCCAAACCTGCTTATGCATTTTATAGACCCCATAGCAGAAATTTAATTGTGTATATACAAATATATATATATATATATATATATATATATATATATATATATATAAATGTATATATATATATATATATATATATATATATATATATATATATATATATATATATATATATATATATATATATATATATATATATACATATACATATACATATACATATATATATATATATATATATATATATATATATATATATATATATATATATATATATATATATATATACATATACATATACATATATATATACATATACATATACATATATATATACATATACATATACATATATATATATATATATATATATATATATATATATATATATATATATATATATATATATATATATATATATATATATATATATATATATATATATATATATATATATATATATATATATATATATATAGGGGCATAAATTTCATGTCTGAAAGTTACCTCAAACACCAAAAAGAATTAACTACAATTCTGCATACATATATATCAATAAAATAAAAAAACATATCATTAGTGACAACTTTTTAAGTAGAATATACTGATATATATTAAGTAATTAGAGTTGACAAATAAATGACTTGATTTGAGGAAGGAGTTATTTAAGTATGATAGATAATAGACCATTGATAAATAATTGTTTTTTTTTAAATACTTTTCTATTATTTTACTTTTTTTTAAAAACAAGACAATTTGAAAACTGAAGTAAACAGAAACTAATAATAGAGTACCAATAATAATGCTGTAGTAGTTGCAAGGCATTGTCCCTTGTAACTATAAACCTTCATGGTATTTTTTTCCCCTGGTAATATAACTACTTTTAAAAATAATAATATAAACCTCTATGGCAGTGCTTCCACCAGTAAAAACATCAAGTTTTTGAGGTATATGCTTTCCTCCACCCCAAAAAAAGACTTCACTAGTAACCGTAGAAACTCGAGGTAACATTAAGTTTGTGCCACTTTTAGTTGAAATTGAATCTGGGATAGACAAGCTTCTCGATGAGATTTTTTTTAAATTCATAGAGTCAGAAATTTCTTTTACTAAATTGAATATAGGCAACTCTAGTAACTCATCACTTGTAGGACGTAAATTAAAATCTTTCTCTAGCATCCGATTCAAAATTTCTTTTACCTCATTTGAATATTGCTCATTAATGTTCCCATGTGGTTGCTCTAATATAGAAACAATAAGCTTTAATTGATTACTGGCCTTGAACACTTTCTCAAGAGTTAATAACTCATACAGCACACAGCCACATGCCCAAATATCACTTTTTTTATCATAACTATCTCCTTTAACTAATTCTGGACTCATATAATATGGTGTTCCAACACAAGTATTTGCATGACCATGAGTTTCTTCAAGGACTTTTGATATTCCAAAATCACCTAGTTTAACCACTTTGCCTTTAGTCAAAAATATATTTAAAGTTTTTATGTCCCGATGAAGAATTCCAATACCGTGAATATATGAAACCGCTAACAAAAGTTGATAAAAATATAAAACTATGTCAGATTCAAGAAATAACACATCATTTTGAGCCATGATTTTGTGATGAAGAGTTCCTCCGTTAGCATACTCCATTTCAATGTAAAGAGAATCACCATCAAAAAAATCATTGTAGTATGCAATAATATTATTGTGATCAAGCTGTGATAAAATCTCAACTTCATTAACTGCATCATTACGTTCACGATCTGTGGCTCTACGCAGATTTATTTCTTTCCATACCACTAATTCATTTGTTAACGTTTTACGATAAAGAACTGCTTCACCAAACGCACCCTGTCCAAGAACTTTAACACGAACATACGACTCATTTTCATCAAAAGTTAATTCAGAAATAAATTGGTCTAGTACTGGCTGATCCTGAAGAAATTTCTCTTCAATTATTTCTTCATCAGACATCATAACCTGAAACTGAAATAAGTAAAAATTAAATGAAACATCTAAATATTAATATAATTCTTTAACAATAATAGATGCATAATAGTTTAACATATTGTTGTGATTTCTAGTGTTTGTGTTATTGTTTTTGGGCTATTTGTGTTATGTATATACATCAACTTTTGTACCTTTAGATTAGTATGTTTTATTTTATTGTTGAATATGAACTTTATCAAGTGATTTTCATTTTTATGAATTCTTTAAAATTTATTTACAACACTTTTAACACAGGAAATAAAATATTTCTGTATTTTTTTCTGTTTATTCAATTCATTTAACAATGATGAAAGTATTAGAAACAAATATTTGAGAATTTTGTTAAGGATTGAGGCAACTTATGATAAATGCTCCATCATTAATTTTGCATCACTTGATGTTTATGATAACATTTAAAGACACTCAAGGAGTGTGATTCCTATGTAACTATTATCAAAAACTTGTATATAAAAATCCCTAATAAATTTTTTCAACGCATCAGTTACTTATAAGACATCAAACATTGGGTGAATTTTTAGAAGATTTTTTTCAGAGATTATATAAATTCAGCCAAAAAGAAGTTTCAGCTGAACAATATTAAAAGCTTATATTTATGGAATAACGTTGAATTACATTTGTCAATGCTATCTTGAACAACATCAACTTTACAATCAGCATTTAAATAAGCTTGACATAGATCATGACTTTGGGTCTTATATGCAGAAACTCCTCTTGTTATCCACCATTCATAATATAGTTGCTGCTATAAAATTACCAGAAGAACCTACAGCAACACTCCTATCAAAAAATCAAGATAATCTCTTCAAGCTGACCGGGAGAATTGAGACATGGAGTTTAAAAGCTTATGATATCAGGGTAATAAAAATGTAAAAATTGAAATAATGACATATCCACAAAAGTTGTTTATTACTATAAACAGCAATAAAGAAAATGACAGCATCAGCATGTTTTTTTTTTAAATTTTTTCTACAGTATCTATGATTAAGATATAGAGTAAAACAGAGTAAAATGAAATAGCGGTTAGAACAAAATAGTTATGACAATATTAATTCTTTCACTTTTAATTAACTATTGAATAATTTTTTTGTAAATATTTTTTGATTATATTGTAGAGAATATTTTTCTGAGTAAGATAGTATAAAATTTTATTTTTAAATAAAAATTTTTTTTTTATAAATTTATAAGTTTTTGAATGCGTAATAAGATTTTTTTTTATTTGTTTGAAAAGGGAACTTACAACTCTTGGAAATTAAATTCGGTATCATTGAACTTAAAATGTTTACTGATACAACTTTTTATCCTGATCAAGAATCGTTTTTCAAAATTAAATTTAGGAAAAAAAGTTATGAGTTAAAAACAGAAATTTAGTGTTGCGGGGTTGAATGAAATACACTAATAAATAAATAAATACAAAGCAATAGCTTATTTCTTAAAAGCGGCTTTTTTTAATTAGGTCTCAAGTGACCAATAAATCTTCAACTAAAAATTTTTTGTATAAACTTTAATGAACGAATTTTTCTAACTGAATTTAAATGACTTTTACTTACAGCTTTTATAAAATGGTTCTAATTAATGAATGAAATTCACTAGTTACTCTCTTGATAATTTGCTTACCAGCTCACTCGTCACACATTCTACAGCCAAAGATGTTGGTGTTTATTGCTACGTCAAAAGAGTTTGGCGCAAATTGCTTCAACAGTTTTATACAGAGACAAAATATAGCAACTTATCAAAAGAATGTTTCAGTCACCTCCGAAAAAAACTTTTCAGCTCTGGTGAAGTTTTTACACTTACCCAAATAGTCACTGGGTTCCAGAATACTGGCTTGTTTCCACTCAACATCGATAAAATTGATCAGTCAAAGTTGCATATTTCTAATACATTTGAAACACCGAGATCTGAACCTGAGCCTTCATCATCTCAACAACCAGAATCTATGATAGTGCCATCACCAAATCTTGCACCAGGAACTACACTACCTCAGCCACTGCCCTCTGAATCTACACCAACAACATCTAGTATCAGCATATGTCACATAGCATCAGCTCTAAAGTCATCTCAAAAGTCTGCAAACAACCTTCAATATTGTAGTAACTCCGGCTATTCAAAAGGAAATTCAAAAAAAGGTTGCAAAACAACTGCAATCAGCCCAATCACTTGGATCAGCTTTGCAACAAATGTTTCGTATCCAACACATTGACACACAAAAAAGAAAAAATGTAGATGCACCAATATTCAAAGGGGAGTGTCTCAACAAACCTGAAATACTTGAAAGATTGAAAGATGCTGAGAGCAAAAAAGCAGCAAAGCAAGCTAAAAAACAACCTAAGCTTAGCTCTAATAGAGAACAGCAAATAAACCAAGCAACAAGTCCAACAAAAATGTTAGCTGCAAACCAATTCAAGTGTAAAAAGTACTAAAAAGTTTTGCGCAAAACTTCAGCAAGTCAAATTATGGAATGGTACCAGTGTGAAAATTTAAATTACAAGATTTGGCTATGTCAAACATGCATACCAAAGCGATACATAAAAGGCGCTGAGTTTTATTGCAAAAACTCAACCTCTAGTACCTCTAGTAAAAGACTCAACATCATCACAAGAATAGAAAAGTTTATTTTATTTGATTGATTTTTTTTTTATTTTTATTATTGATTGTTTTTTAATTGTTATTATTGATTGCTTTTTTGTTTTTTTAATAAAGTGTTGATTAAGTACACTTATATTTGCGTATTTCATTCTCCCCGAATGTTAGTGTAGAATGGAATAAAATTTTTTTTAATCAAATAAAGTTTCATAAAAAACTTTACAAAAAAATTGTTAAAATTTTATATATTTAAATACAGCTCAATACTCTCTACAACTTTTAAAAATAAAAGGAAAAAATCTTTTTTCCATAAAAAATTAATAATTAAAATCCTTAACTATTCCATTTGACCGCAAAACTGTGAAAAAGTGAAGACAGTGCTTGGAAGAGACATTAATTTTCAAGACTTAAGAGTTCATAGAGGAATTTGTGATGAGTATAGCTCAGCAATGAAGAGAAAAGATGAAGGCAAGAACATAAATATTCTACCTCCATTCAATTTCAAAGAAACTTCACAAATATGTCTATAAAAGAGCAATCATGCCATTGTCATTGACCAGTTTAAGCTCAATCAAAAGCATTCATTCTGTCAAAAATATGAAGGTGAAAAAAGTGTCCACAGATGCTCTAAATGCCCTTTGATTCTTGGCAATAGTATTCCCCATCTTTGCAATGAGTACACATTCCGAGAAAACATAAGAATACTTGCAGCAAAGGACAGCAAAGTTTCTGACCATATAGCTGCCACAGTTAATAGTCAATAAGAGGCATCACCACATGGGACTATTTGTGATGATCAGGCTAAAGGTGCCATTGACACCACAGTTATTTTGGTTCTCCTTTTTAAATTTCACTTGAAAATACATATAATGAGGTTTTTTAATTTTAATTTTATTTTAAGCCCATAAAGTGCTAAACAACTTTTTGAAGCTCCCACAAAAGTGACATGGCAATAAACACCAACATCTAGTGGCTGTAGAATGTGTGACGAGTGAGCTGGTAAGCAAATTATCAAGAGAGTAACTAGTGAATTTTATTCATTAATTAGAACCAATTTATAAAAGCAGTAAGTAAAAGTCATTTAAATTCAGTTAGAAAAATTCGTTCATTGAAATTTATACAAAAAATTTATAGTTGGAGATTTATTGGTCACTTGAGACCTAATAAAAAAAAGCTGCTTTTAAAAAATAAGCTATTGCTTTGTATTTATTTATTAGCGTATTTCATTCAACCCCGCAACACTCAGTTTTCGTTTTTAACTCATAACTTTTTGAAGATCTAGCACAAACTCAAATCAATACAGGAATGTCCAACCTTGGCATGAGGAAACTTTTATTCACTCTTAATCAAGTTTCAAAGATCAAAATCACAAAACCATAAATTGGTTCAAAATTTTTTGAATTAGGTGAAAACCTTGCAAATTTTTTACACATTCAAAACTTACAAAATTCGAAAAAAAAGGATCAAAAGTGGAAATCATCCACTGAAAAGACTTTAATGAATTGCTTGACTATGTTTTTTTAGAAAGATATTTTCTGAGCCTATCAACAAACTTGGAATAGATGGTGGTGCAGGATTTTCTCTTGGGATTGTAGAAACAGATACAAGGTCTGATCTCATTAATTCACCACCGAGGAATATGGATACATTGACTGAGGGTTTGGAATGATGCCAGCAATCTTTTTTTTTCATTATTCTTCGTTCTTTTCTTCTTTTTCTAAAAATGCTGCGTGTGTGTGTATATATATACATTTTTCAAATATATATATATATATATATATATATATATATATATATATATATATATATATATATATATATATATTTGAAAAAAAAAAGGCAGTTTAGAATAGCAAATGAAAATTTTGCTCAATTTTTATTATAAAACTTGCATGAAACAAAGTAAATTTATTAAAAAAGGAGGGTCAATTGTACCCAACAACCCCCCACAAATACTGACCTAAAAGTGTTTGAATTCGGCAAAAAATTGCCAAGCTCATTTCTATATTTTATGGTAACCCTTTGTTTCAATTTTTTTTTCCAACCTGTAACAGTTTGAGGACCTCATTTTTCCTAATTCTGAGGGTTGATATATATATATATATATATATATATATATATATATATATATATATATATATATATATATATATATATATATATATATATATATATATATATATATATATATATATATATATATATGATCTTAGACAGATGAGTGAGAGAACATACGGCTAAGCATGTTATTAAACTCAAACTACTTTCTAATTACCAACAGATTTTTTAGTTGTAAATCATGTGGCACAAACTTCTTAGAGGTGTTAGATATAATTACCAAGGCACTAAACTATAGTTCTATGACCGCCTTATCTTACTTGATTTTTCCAAAG